TCAGCTCTCGATTATTCTGAACTCCTCTACTGATTTAATGGATTTTTTGGGAGCATCAGGGGATAGTTGCCGTCAGGAGAGTTTTCCAGGAGCCCCTTTGGTGCCCTATTTAGGTCGCTTTTCGGCTAGGCAATGCCTAGTCTACAGAACGTCCACGATGGATGAAAAGTTTCCGGCGATAAGTAATTCCCACTTTGCCCATTTTTTGACTACAGACAATTCGCTGGAAATTCAATCAAGGTTGATAGGTAACTTTCACAGGAGAATGTGAAAAACGTAGCTAAAAAATTTGACATCGAAAAGTAAACGGTTCAACTGAAAGGAAAAATGAAAATTGAACCCGGGACAAGGTAGTGCCAAATGGTTATTGCCATGCACATGGTCCAGGGATCGAATCGCCTCAACATGAGCACTCTGGAGAAAGCTAATTTCATACTTCCGGGGGATAAACTGCAACAAGATTCATTTGGGAAGAAGAAAGCACTAGCATGAACACTGGCTTGTCTCCGCAACTACTCTGTTAATCCAAATACCCTATAAAGGCTATTGCGATCAGACCGAAAGTTGTAGGCGCGAGCTCACTCCAAGACATGATCTATCTATTCTAGGCCACCTCTTTACTTCAACATATTTGGTTTTGTTGGCTGTTGACTACCGCAACAGCATAAACGTCCATCAAAGGGTTCTATCAGAAGGCATCAAGCCAGCGAGCATTCTGCCTTAGAGAACTCAGTAATGCTTACGTTAAAGGTATGATTTGTGAGCACTTTTCTATGACTGATCTCCAGTTCAGCAGCAGAAGTAGAACAAGGCAACAGAACAGGGCAACTCCAGTAACAACCGTAGTGGCGTCCACTCCTCAACGGTTGATTCAGCCCTTTACGTTGTTGCTTGTTGCTGAGACCGAATATATCCCAAACTCATGAATATTCTCCTGCATCAATTAATCTTACGTCACCCCAGAATATGTACATAAATATGAGGAAGTGCCTGGCTTTGAGTAGGCCCTGAGTAGTTTTTGTGGCAGTGCTGAAGATAGACAGAGAAGGTAATTGTAGAGCGTTTTGACTAGCCTGCAATGCTGTCAGAAAGTAGTTCAGCCTACAGTGAGTGGAAGGATATCGCCACATACCCAAACAAAGACATCAGAAGCGAAGATGAGCTTTAAAGCCAAAGGAACAACCACTCAGAATACATTGAGCTGAGGCTGAGCTGCACTTGTACAGGCAGTCATATCCTGCTTAGGCATAGCGTCCCTCACACTGGCTGCTCCGGTCCCAGATAACTCCTCCCAATCCAAGTCTCGTTCGTTTTCCAGGAATTATGCCCTGGAGAACGTCACCAGTGTAATTCTCTATCACCGACATGAAACGGTTACACTTTCCAACCACCAGGCTTTTTTCACCAAAGCGAAAAGCATTACCTCTACCGTAAATTTTCTTTGAAGAGATTTCCGATATCTTCCCTTTTGTAAATGAAATTTCTGGGCTGAAACCTTACCAAAACTTCAGTAGCCGAGAAAAGCGCCATATCATCATATCCCATCACAGAAGGCTCAACCGAAACTGGGGAACCCACCCTTGAATCATTTTGGATTCCCAGGGGTACTTGACGAATAGTTAATTCCTAAAGCCTCCAGCCCACCACTGCTCCTGGTCAACTCAAATTACAAGTAATCGAATACTTTGAAGAAAAAACTAAAAACGTACCAGTAAATTCAGAGGTAGGCGATTTTTTTGGTGAAAGATATGCATTGTTAGAATGAGGCAAAAGTTGTAGGCGTGGTTTTTGGACATAATGTGAAATGGCCGCGTATGTGACGGATTCATTGAGCCATGAACATCGTCAGTAGAGCAATGACCGAACACGAAAGAACCAAAGGTGTAGAATACTCCTGCGGGCAACCGCCAACATACATAACCCATTGCCAATTAGACATTGTCGTCTTAGCCATGCCCGGATGCCCACCGATGCACATTGATTTGATCTATGACGCTTCCAAGACTGGGACGACTAAAGTGCTTCTCTTGAAGGCACTTGCAGAATCACCACGGGCTGCAGCCCACGTGCGCATGCTGTCAGGGCAGTTTATTTGCTGGTTGAATTCACACTCAATGGCATTTCTCCAAATGCGAGTGCCCGGAGGAGATGGAAGAGGGAAACTGATCCATCGAGCGGTTGGATTCTGAAGCTTCTAGACTACCTGAATCCGTACAGGAAAACAGGTGCTGTGAAAAGTCCAAAGATAGGACTCCTCAATCCGTTTGCACAAAGCCGGTTCTATGAGCCCCTATGTCCCCTGACTTTCCGATTGTGTGTGCGATAGTGATAAAGCTTTAATCGTAAATTGATTCCGCTCTGGAATAGGCCACGTATTTACTCTCATTCTCTATTGCCATGGCTCTTGAATGCATAATCCAGTCATGGTGGACAGCCTATGTATAAACCAGCAATTTTAACTCCTTCATTCTATGAAATTACAGATATTACATCATTTCTTGTTCACGGGGAGCTTTAGTTGGCATAAATGAAGCTCAACTATTGACTTGGTCTCAGGACTATATGGAGAGAAGAGGTTGTAGTTAGGTGTCGTCGGTCCTGGGTAAAATGAAATGGCTAAGCTTGTTCTACTTCATAGGAATTTTTGTAACTCACCCTCGTGAAAATGCAAGGAAACGCCAAAACATTACAAATCCCTAAAAATAAATCACATTGTAGCTAAGGAATCCTCCCTCAAGTAAAAAAACGGTCTCTCCGACCGCTCCGCTACACACCTACTGATCTCCGGCTATGGGTGTGTGTCAAGTCGTGCGTCCGAGGGTGCGCGCGGCAACTTGCGCGGCGAAGCTCGTGGCGAATGTGAACGACTCCGGCGCCTATCATTGGAGCCCAAATCTGGAGTAAGGTAGATTAGTAAGGCCAGCTGATCCTACTATTTCACTGCACTTCGAAATTGGGCCCAAATAATAAGCGCCAAAGTCGTCAGAATAGGTATGGGTTTCGCCGCGCAATTTGCCGCGCGCATCCTCGGACGCACGACTTGACCGTCCCCCTCCGGCTATCAGCCGATGTACAAGTCAGTGCTTTTACCTCCCTATACGTGTCCTGTACCAGTCAATCGACCCGGAAACATGGAAGCCTTGCTTAGCTTGTGTGAAGAGCCTGTGCAGTCCGGGGTTCAATCCTTGGACCATGCGTGCGTGATAGTGCTACTAAACCACCTTCAGTTCTCTTCTGTTGCTGTGATACTACATTTTACCCTATTCGCAATTGACAAAAGTCCTTCTTTGCGAAGAAACTTTTGATTAGTAGTGGCCTCACGTTCGGAGCCTATGCATAATAGTCGCAAATCAGCATCGCAAATTTGATTACTTCGTTTTCATCTACTCCGTACATGTAGTGAAGTGGCAAATAGCACATGTAAAGGGCAGGAATTGATTGAAAACTTCAAATGTCTGAAGATAAAAAGAAGCCAGCTGTACAGCTCCGATCAATCCCTTCTAGTGTACGCCATGCAGTGGACATCTGTGAGGATCGTATGGATAATTGAATGGGTATGAATGGGATGACTCGGAATGGATCTATGTACATAAGAAGTTGGGCACTTCCATTCTGTCATAAGGAGACGGTAGCACTGCAGCCCACTGAACATGGTGTTGTGCTGGCTTGGATGCGTTCAACCCAGAAGCTTCTGGAGAATAACGGCCCCATTTAACACTCTTTCCCATCCCTCTAACTTCACGCGGAAATAAAAATAGCAAAGTGTAGAGAAGGAAATGTGTAATTTGGGATCAAATGAGTAATGGTCAAACAGACCATTCCCTTTTGAAATTTGCCAATTGTACGGTCTGCCAAAGTGTAAAGCTAGCGAACCCCTTCATCTTCCTAAGAGAATTCGTTTCTAATGTGTACCACAAAAAGGGCAAGCCTGAAGGCCTAAACAAATTGAAACCAAGTAATTTAGAAGAATGTGACGAAAGTTCGTAGTTAGATTTTCCCCTCTGCACTTCAGACATTCCTTCTAAACGGATGTCTTTTCGTCCCGAACAATTACGAGTACTGCTTCTCAAAGTTCCCTATTGCCTGATTTATCGGGAAACCTTAGCGATTAGCTTCTCTCGATTTTAGGCGAAATTCAAGTAGTTTTGCGGAGATGAGGAAGCAATGAAAAACTCGTGAAAAAATTATTTTTACAGATCGAAAAGTTAGTTGTCTTTAATGGTATCGTCGTTGATCGTAAGACCGTCGTTCCAAAACTTCTTACCCTAGCTACCTCAAAATTTTCTTGACATTCAGTTATATAAACTAGAAAATACAGATGACCATGAAATGTGGAGGCCCAAAAGATGGAATGAAATGAAAAATTTAGAAATTTCGAAATGGCTCACTGATCTTGAACTACTGCTAAGGATTGTAGTCACTCCTGGAGGGTAACATCAACATTCTGCACCCTCTCGCCAGAAGTTTAATATCTTATAAAATGCATGGGTGATATTTTAGCCGTAAAAATTATCAAAATTACTATATAGTGCGGAAAAACCTGGGGAATAAAAAGATTCTTCATTGCCGGCTGAAGAAGAATAAAGTACAAAATGAAGAAAGCAGCGCACATTTTTGGTAGAACTCTCGCATAAAGCTCAGTTTTGGGACCGAATAGTGCCCAAACCAGTTCTGCCCCCGAAACTTGGTTTGGGAAGGGATTGTATAAATGGATCTCATCAGAGTGAGCATTTCCCTTGAATTACGTGAAGGATCGAAAATCGTTCGACTCGGAATATGCATCAGACAAAGGAAAATATCATAGTATTTACTCATATATATGAGCTGTCTTCTTCTATCATCTAGCCCATCCCCACCTCACTGAACAAGCCTTGCTTCAAGTAGCGGTTCTCTACTTTTTTACATGAATTTTTGTTTTTATGTGCATCTATACAAAGCATGGCTACCCTTAGGCAATACAGCTTCTGTCTGCTTTTATGCAGGCTCCTTCATTCGGAACTGAATTAATGCACTGAGTAAATACAGCAGAAAAGGGCGAATTAGGTACACCACCGTAGGGCTCCTCGTTCGATTGTCACTCGTATCGACCCATAAAAAATTTGATGATGGTTTAAAATGAGCAAAAATTGTGCCAGAACGGCGGCAGTGCTGATTCCCTAAAGACTACAAGTTTACGACTTTTGAAAAAAAAAAGTGTCAATCAACAACGAGTTGTTGACGATAGTCGCATTTCTGCCAGTATAATAATTTGTTTTGAAGTACTTGTATCGATTTTGGAATTGGCACATATCCAGTGGTGGTTTCACTAACTCAAACAATTGAAACTCAAAAAAATCAAAAAAAAAATTGAAAGTAGTAAAAAAAGATAATAGAATTCAGATGAACGATGATGCCAACAGGAGGCCTGGCGGTGTTTTCGATACTCCAGAGGAGTTATCCTGAAGACCAGAATTCGTGTATATAAGAACCCCTTCAACTCTTCCAGGCCTTAACCGTGAGAATGAGGCTGTCGGCCCAAAGGACTTGGCTTTGTTGATCTCGTGTAATAAACCCACAGAAATTATTTCCTTTCATTTTCAGAAGCTCAGAACTTCTTAAAAATTCCCTTTACGAAGTGATGACTCCGTGGGGGTGTCGTAAGGTAAAAATTCAAAATTACAACTTCCGATTTGAGATTGGACTATAGCTAGCTTCGAGGCTTTCTGGTAACATAAATCTCTGCACTGATTCATTTTGGGTTTACTGATTTTTAATGAAATTTATGAAATTTTTTCAAAATTCATAGAACAATAAATTGATCGGCAGACTGTCTTACCCTTACTGTAATGTCCCATTTCGTTGGCTATTCGCAGATAAAATTAATATTTGACAAAAGCTATTAAAAATCTTCAATATCTCTGCTTTCTGAGGCATCAGATAGTTGGAATTAGAATCTTCTGATTTCTCAAGCTCAGGGGCATCGCTCAATATCTTAAGAACTTAATCATCCAGAATTCAAAAAAAGAACTGCGTAGAATTAATGACTGATGCCCAGGTGTTTGAGTTCCACAGAGCCGAGAAGTTGGGAAGCGCTGGCTTGCACACCAGAATCATGGACAATAGCTTCAAAGACCTCTATATGAGCTGGCATTTTGCTAGTTTACGGTTCCATCCCCGGGACAATTGGTAGAAAGATATCCTTTCCTTCAAGAAGGCTACTTATCCATCGGTTTCCCAATCGTGACTCAAATGTAAGGACTCGCAGGGAAAGAAAGAAATAAATGGGAACCAGTAAGGATGAAACTAAAAGGTAGGGATGCGCATGTTCTCTAAGGGAATGAGGGACCAGAGTTAAGTGAGACGCTGAAGGAATAGGTGGGAGTCGTAACACGACTAGCCAAGGCCACTGTACGCAGAGGAAGGTATGGTGCTTTCTGATCCACACAAGGGAGCCCATATAGCTTCTGCTTCTTATTTCCTTTACCATTTTGATATTTACTTCTATCCTAACATACTTTTACCCTGAACTAAATAGTTCCCCTTCTTAACCGAAGAACGACAACCGGATTGCTGCCTACGTTGGAAAAACTCCTGAACTTTACACAAAGTGCATTTTTTGGAAATTTCAAGACATCCCAGCGAATCTATTTTGCAGCAATTTGTAGGAGTTTCGCGGAAAGTTGCAAATTCAAAACGAATTTCGAGAAAAATCATTCAAAATCAGAAAAACTAAATGCTCGAAAAACAACTTTA